CTGCATTTTTACTGGTCTCAGAGTGCCCCTTGCTCCCTGGGTGCTCAAAGATATTCCCTAGACTCATCCTAACTATAGCTGACCTAGATAATGGCACATGGAAAATCCTACTGAGGAGACCCCAGCTCTGCCCTGCATGATGAAAGGGATACTCAGATTGCTTAGGTGAAAGATCTTGTTCTCCTTGTAGAAATCATAGGAGTGGTCAAAAAAAAATGCAAGCACTTCTTTAGAAACAGAAAGTAACACAAAAATACGTGGTGATGCCAGCATGTAATGTGTACCTGTGCTCTGCCCCCTGTTCAAATGGCACTTTGTTAAAAAGGTAGAAGACATGGGCAGCTTGCAGAGGAGCTGGAGACACTCATGGTTTTCCTACCAGGAGAAGCAAAGATACTCATGGTTCTCCTGCCAGGAGAAGTAAAGTTTTGTTTGGCTTGGGGAGGGAGAAACATGTGCATGGTCGGGAAAAAGCAGGATAAAGTATACAAGATCAAGGTGTGTCTTTAAAATGAAAGCAAATGGAATTTGATGCCTTGGGATGTAAAGGGGAATTGTTCAGAGTTTGAAAAAGGGTGAAAGCTGAAACCTCCGGAGGCTAAAGGTCTTTCTGGTTGCTCACTGCAGCCCTGTGGCAGTGGGCAGACGCAGCCTGCGCTTAGGTTGTGTCTCAGCTACCGGCTCTCTGAGAGGGAAAACTCACATTTAAAGAGCTGGAGGGGTTTCCTGGATGCTAATGACCTGTCCTGAGCTGGCACAGAGTAGGGAGATTTGACTGGCTCTACCCCTAATCCTGGGGACCTCTTGTGCTGCCATTGATAGGGGACTACAACGGTCCACAAACAGCATCACCCTCTGCTCTGTCTTATGTGCCTCGCCTTTCCCACCCTTTCATTTTTGTCGCAGGGTTTGGAGAGCAGTTCCAAGACAAACATCTGGTGGGAGAGGTCTCTATTTTAAGATAATTTACTGCAGAATACAGAGGCGTTTTAGTACAAGGCGGTACTTCTCCGAAACAAAAGCTGCTCTTTGAAACGGAGGGTAGGGAGGGGAGCGGGTAGGAAATACCTCTGTTGTTGTTGTGGAAAAAGAAGAGCGGCAAACGGCAGCTCCCCAAATGCCTGTTTCCAACTATGCATATCACCGCGCGAGAATTCGGAGCTGGCGACACATCACCCTGCAGTGGTGCAGTCTGAGCACGAGCAGCATAGCTGTGTGGTGCTGGCCAGGCACGGGGTGGAGAGTAGGATAGCAAAGATGCTAAGCGGTTTGAATCATTTAAGAAAAAAAAAAGTCCTTTCTGCATCCTTTTAAAGATAATCGGAGAAACATCCCTCATCCACATCTCCACTCTCCCTGGTGAAGCTTGGGGCTGGGCGAGAGGCAGCGGTTTCCACTCCAGGGGACGAGCAGGAGGTAGGTGCCAGAAACTCAGGAACATCTGACTACAAGTAGGGGCTCGCCCCTCCACTCTCAACCACCCTCCCTCTGATGTTGGCTGGGGCAGGGAAGGGGAGAGGAAAGGTGGACAGTGCATGGCAGTGTGATTAGTCATTTTCTTAGGAACTGGCCTGAATGTGCTGCTTGCTGTCTCCAAGAATGTTTATTAGTCACATTATTTATTGCTCGGGCTGACTCAGATGCTAGGCATGACTCTGGTGCTGAACAGAATGAGCTCCTGCCCACTGACAGAGTATGTCCCTTTTGCCACAGGTACCTGTGCAAACCAGCAGTGAAGGCAGCAGTCACAGGTGCTTGTGTCTCTCTTTGCAATTTAATCCCCTTCCTTAAACTCCAGTTCTTGGATTTCTTCCTAATTTTCCACACTAATCCCAAAATATGCAACCTTCCATTTACCAGGGCTCAACACCTGCCATCATGCCAGCCTTGGTGGATTGAGTCAGGCTTTGTGCTGGGCACTGGCTGCTGGGCATAGCTGCCCCCTGGCTGCCCCTTGCCCTGCCCAGGGCAAAGAGTGTCTTGCTGCTCTCCATCACTCCTCCATCTCCGTGGGAACCACCTACTTGGGAATCAGCAGTTAGGTTTAATCTGGTCATCCTAGAGGAAAATAAGGAAAAAAGAAAAAAATAAACAAAAGGAGAAGTCAAGGGAAACTAAAGCCAGATGAGATTTAGCAATGATCTCTATGGTAGGCAAATCCTTGCTGCACTGGTGTGTCCTGGGTGGTCAAAGATGAGGGGCCAGGAGCTTATTTCCATCCCAGTCCTCCCAGACTGGCCCCAGGGAGCAAAGAAGCAAAGAGGAGGAGGAGGAAGAGGAAGAGGAGGAGGGGGCTGCCAGGGTTGAGAAGCTGCCCATTCCCTGGTGGAGCACTGGCCTGCGGTAGGTGCCTGTTAAAATTTTGTGCCTGTTACTATTTTGTCAGCCAGACTTTGCTTTTTGGAGAATGTTTTCATTCTGTTCATACAGCAAATAAGCCCGGTGGGAAATGCACTGTTCCAGCTCTGCATGTTCAGCTCCCTCCATGACAGCATAACCTCTCAAGGGGAAGATCTCCTCACTTTAAAGGACTGGATAAAGTACAGTTGTGATTTACTCATGGAGAGCAGCAGCCACATCCTGTCAGACAGATGTATCTTTTTACCAGCATTTTATTTCTTGAGTGGGGTTTTCCCTTCTCCAAACACCTTACTCTGATGTCTGAGTCAGTTGGGGCACTGCCTGCTCCAGCAAGTGCATCCCTCCCTCCCAGTCCATTTTTTCATTTGTTTGAGTCACTGTGGGCACTGTGGGTCAGGTGTTGAAGTGTCCCTGACCCTGCACTCGGGCATTTCACACATCAATAACAGCTTGGCGCCGGCACCAGATTAATGTGGTCACTGCAGCTCTGCAAGGTCCTGGCTTTCTGTCCCTATGGACAGGACTCGGCTCATCTGAAAGTGCTCTCTTGCCAAACCCCCTGCAATGGGGACTGCCTGGTAGTGCTGTGACCGACTGCCCTGGTTTCTCTTGAATATCCATTCACTGTCAGAGCATTTTTCTTTGTTCATTGTGCACAGGACAAAGACGACGTTGTTCCTCTCCTCCTGCTATTTCTTTTTAAAGCTTCCCTCAGTCTTCCTTTCTAGGAAAACAACAGTGCTGGTCCTTTCAACACTGTACCCACAGGGCATGTTTTCCAGCACCTTATGTTACTGAGATAGGTGGAGAAGTGAGGAAGAAATGGAGCTGCACAGCACAGACACCCCATGTTCAGGGTCACAAAACAACAGCTTTCTAACTTATTTTTTGTTTTGCAGACCTTTAAATAGTTTCTAGTGGCAGTAGTGACAGCATATGTCATCACTTTTTGTGGACATGGTGGAATTTTCCTAAATTTTTCTGTCTTTTGGAAACATTGAAGGAGCAATATTTAACATTTTCTTTACCATTTCTCTTGCTTCCATTTTTTTCCCCTCTCTACAGCTTTTAAAGTTGGTGTTAGCAAAGCAGAATTCAAAAATGAAATCACCAATTTATCATCACGTTTAGGTAGTTTTCATTTTAACTGATTGTTCTTACCAAAACACAGATTTTTTTATAACTAACAAATGATCCATGCACAGGGACACTGTAAGCTTTATTTATGTGTTGAGAGAAACTTTTTGTGGTTGCAAATCCAGGGGAATGCTGTACTCTAATGCAAGTGCCACATTAGGAGCAACCAGCATGGATAGCACAGGGAGAGTTAAGCAGAAGATAAGGATGTGTGCTGGAACAGGGTGAAACAGGGACAGGGACCATGGTTGGTTTGACTCCCTCTCCCAACCCTCCTCACAATGGTGAAAAATGGGACAGTTCATGGTCCCTAAGAAGAAGCCTCCTGCCTTCATGGTTCTGTGGTGCAGCTGTTGCATAAGTATATCCATGCTGATTGATGGGATTCCCAGCTGCCTGTGAGCTGTGTTAAATATCAAACCCAACAGGGGTCTTTTAGCCCTGAGAACCAGAAGATGGAGTGAGACCGGTCTGGAACTCCAGCCTGCTGTCCCTGCACTGACCAAAGCAGTACCAGGGCTTGAGAGGCCAGCTGTGGGTTTCACCTTTGGAACAACTGAAGCCTTTCCTTGGTTTCCACAGCTCTACGAGTTCCAGTCTTTTCAGAGCAGTAGTTTTCAGTTCTGCTAAAAGACATAGTGCCCTTAACCCGCCTCCCAGAGCTCAGTGGAGCTGCCACATCCTCCCTAGCTTCTGTCACACCCACAGGCTGCACCAGTCTGCTATTGCAAGGCAAGGAATTGACTCAGGCTTGAGACTGCCTCCAAGGAGATGGAGAAGCACAGTGGCACCATGGTGGCTTCATGTGACGTGCAGTAATACAGCACCTCTCTGTGCACATGCTGCTAAGCCCAGGTGTCACTCCCTAGTTAGTGGCTAGATGAACCACAAAATTGCTTGGCTGTCACTAGGACACCATGTGCCAAGACATAAATGGCCTCAAACATAAGGCCCATATTGTAACCTTGACAGAAGCCGACCATCTCCATTCCACTAAAACACGCTTAGAAAGTGTCCTGTGCCACCCAAACCAACCCCACAGTGCACAGCCTGGGCCCATTCATCCCGCTGCTACACCTGGAGTAGGGATGTCCACCGTGCAGACCTGTCCACCACGGAGAGCCTCCGGTGGCTCCTCTCTGCAAACGGACAGTCCGAGCATACAGGGAAATCACATCTCAGATGCCAGCTGGGTTAGAGCCATAAGCTCAGGAGGACACAGGTAAGTGAACTGGCCTTCTTCTTATCACTGCATCATAGAGTAGGAGGGCTTCAGTGAACCTTGTATGCACATGCTACGGCATGTTGGGCCCAGGAGAAGCTGCTTGGGGAGTATCTGTGTTACTACCCACTCTGCCTATCAGGAAGCCAAGGCTGTGCTTGCCAGATCCTGTGGTTATTTATTCTGGCACAAAATTAGAATAACTCTGTTTGTACTGGAGCACGAGCAGAATTTAACTCTTTCCTGAAAAACAAACATGAGAGCAAGGAATATGAATACATTTAAGAGTGTAAGAAAATATATTTATTAAATTTCATGGCAATTGTATGGCAAAAATTGTTAAATACATGCGTACTTTTAGACACCCAAGCAATACAACAGGAATTACAACAAGCAAGCAAACTAGATTTAAAACATATGCAAAGTTGTATCTTAATGTTAGGTTAGTCTTAAATGTCAACTGCCACACTGAAATATAATATCCCCAACATGATCCCATGCTTCCTTTTTCAAGCATGCATTTGTTTAACTGCGTAGCTGATAAATTTTCATATTGATACACTTGGTTGAATCAGTATTTTACTTGGCATGCTACAGCTTCATTAAAGTGCCTTGTGATGATTTTCCTAAAATTGTATAAGTACTTTTTCAATAGCGGATTTGGAAGCTGGAAAACTTCAGTATCATTCAGCAACAAAAAGACGTTCAATGACTGATTACATTTAGTGTGTTATGAAGACTAAATCAGTACATCAAGCTGACAAAATATTCTCAGAATTAATTTCTACAGATGACTATTTCAAATTGGCAAATAATATTTTCACTAGTATTAAACAAAAGTCCGTTAAAATCTTTGTAAAAACAGAACATAAAAACATCTCTAAACAAATTATTTATGCTGTAAAAAATACGGTATAAAAAGAGCTAAAAAAACATTGAACCTGTTCACAGTATGTATTTTTAATGTTACAGCATTATAATACAATGTTGTGTGTTTTTTTGGGGTGACCTGTATGATTCCACCAGTTCTGCTGTTTTATGCACCACAACAGGCTCAAAGTTCAAATTACTGTTACCTTCAAGTAGGATTTCAGATAAGAGTTGATTCAGTTGTCTTCTCTTTTTGCTATCCCCTGCTTCACAAACTTTTATGACATCCTATGAAACATAAAATTGTTGTTCATCCTAAGCCACTCTTGACTCACATTAAGGAAACATTGACAAAGTGATGTTCAAGAATTCTTTTTTTATTGTATTACTATTAAAGAGTGTGACCTTGCCAGTTTCTATTTTACCTTGCCCTGCTTAAACTATTTATTTTTTAAGTTTTTCTTAATCCAAATAATGAAAATGAGAGCATTTAATTTTTTGCTTTGTCCCTGGGTAAGTTTTACTCGCTACATTTTGTACAACATGAGACCAAATGAGTTGCAAAGGTATTGAAGCTCCTTGTGGAAGTTGTGCATACACCTCCACTCAGGTAGCAACAGTTAAAGTGCAGATTTGGAACTGTCCAAAAACCTACCCAGAGATTTTGTTAGATATCACATTAAAAAATAAGGATTTCATCTGTTCTGCTGCACCAAAGTCACCTGGGCAGTGCTGTCTCAAGAAGACAGTGAGAGAAGATTATTCCTGTCCTCTCACAAAACACTCTGCCAGAACAGCTCACCTGCATGGGGACGCTGAATCTCTGCCGTCCAAAATGCAGAAGTTCTCTGAGATACTTTTATTATTGTAAAAGCAGAAGGAATTAAAAAATTTTTGTAGGGGAAAAGTATTGTCATGCACCCTGGGACAACTTGTAAAGTTACAGAAACGCTGCCAATACCATCTGAGGTTTGTTTGCATAACATGCAGAAAGGAAACAAACACTAGCTATCTTAGAAACACTGGGGAAAATCCAAAGTTATATAAATGGGGGAGGGGAAAGAAAATCTTTATGGAATAAACTTTTCCAGCTTCTAAGGAGATAATTAAGAATTTAAGACAGTTCTAAACATAATGAAATTAGTTTTTAAACACTCCAGCATTTCTGAATCCTTGTCTAGCATTTGGGCTCTGGGACTCTGTTTCCAGGCTTGCTAAGGAAAAGGCATAGAAAAAGCCAACAACAAATATTGTGAACCGCCAACAGCATCTCTGAGCATCAGCCACAGAGGGCACCACTTAAAGTACAGCATCACTAGCACTGTGTAGTGTGTTGGGAGGAGTGCAGATGGCAGCTGCTTCCTCTAGATGAAACTGCATCTCAGAAGGCATATATTCATCCACAGGACTCCAAAAAAAATCACTCTGGCAATTGCAAGCCAACTTCCTCTGCCATATGCGCCTAGGTACATAACGATGCAGGCACACATGTCCATAAGGGGTTAGGACGTAGTGTTAAAAATATTAATGTCTTTTGCACTGAAATCGTCATCAAAGTCTGTGGTGGAACTGAAGATGCTATTTACATGGGAAGCTCTCCATAGATTCATGGCACACAGAGCCTCGGCAGCAAACTGATTCTCTGAATGTTACATTTTCCTTATGTATTCAAAATTCTTTTACTATATTTCTATCTACTTGCAGGGATAAAAGTATTCTATTTGCAAAGCAGTATTTATTTAAAAATAGAGCACACAATTTCTCATTGCCTTTTCAGAGTGATGTCTAAACATCTTCTCTCTCCAATGCATCCAATTGCCTTCATTTTTGCTACTATTCATGTTCAACTGAGCGTCCTGGAGGACACAATCACAGGAAACACCACAGCCCTAAGCTTTACCCTGCTGAACCTGTCAACAACAACAACAACAAAAACAAAAAGGCAGCTTGAATATGCCTTTTCAGAGCAGCCTAAAACTTGAGGTCAGCAGGAGTGTGCTGCTGCCGTGTTCTTAGCCAAGGAAAGTTCTGGTCCCCCACATAAATCCAAGACGAAGAAACACGGGGCATTTGCCAATTGTGCCATGACAGACAACATGGCCACTGGTTCCCTTTGGAAATGGTTTACCCATGAAAGCAGCAACTAGGGATAATAAAGACAGCTTACCACAGCAAACATCAGTTTTCAGGTTCGAAGACTGCCTATACAGCCACTGCATAGCAGGGGAGGTAATTCACTGCCTGCCTGTAATATTAGCTTACTATTTTGTTGATATATTAACTAGTAATTCTGTGAGGTATATCACATGCAGATCTACCATCCCAAAATTTAACACACAAACCTGAGATCCCAGATCTCATGGCATGTCAGAACAACAAAAATAACAAATGTGTCAAATAGGAGAGTGCACAACGTTCCATCAAATGTGACCGATGTTCCATGCATACAGTGAACAGTACAAAAAACCCATTACAAACTCCAAATTGTCACATATGACAGGCATGGCTCAAAAATAGAAAGCAGCAGAACTGATGATTTTCTTCAGAAAGCAACTGCTTGGCATTAATACCCTACATCTCTGAATACTGATCCAACTTGAGGACTGATGCACAGAGTTAGGCATAGTAGTGTTTTGGACATAATCCCTTCTGGTCATATCCCTTCTGGAAGTTTTTTTTGTTTTGTTTTGTTTGTTTTGTTTTGTTTGTTTGGGTTTTTTTTCCTTTTTTCTTTTTTTAATTTTTTAAAAGCTGCACTTTCTATTCTTCTAGAAAAAGAAACAAAAAACCAAAAGAACTATAACAAAATAGATGATCTATAAAGGAACAAGATCTTTCAGAAAGTGATGGTAAGGAAATGCAGCACTTTAAGCTTCCTAAGGTATTTTTCAGAAAAAAATTGTCTGAAGAGGCTCACCAGGAAGCCCAAAGGCACTAGTACAAGAAGTCTGATCCCCTCTGAAGCTTACAATTGTTATCAAAGCATTTAGAGGCTAAAGAGCACCATGCTTTGAAAGTGAATTTGGTACAAAGACATTCCTAAAGATGTTTTACTAATTCAACATGGCACTTGGGCTCAGAAAGCAAGTCCATTCCCTGACAGTCCTTGTCATTCCTCCTTACTGCTCCATGCACCTAGAGATGTCTTCACATGATCATAACATTAGCACTCAACCTCTCACTACCCATCTAGCATTTGGATTCACTGCTGAAAATCTAAGACAGACATTTGAAAGGAGCCCTCGCTGGCAGTACTGAACAGGCTCAAAGGAAACCACAGACGTGAAGCAGCTGAGCTTCCAAGTGCTGGAATGACAACTGCTTGTTGGTTCATAACTATTAAGCAATAATGATGCTACAGATACTGCACAAGCCTGTGTTTCTCCTGCATTTGCCCCACTCTTCTCTTACTGAAGCTGTTGCTGTTAACATGACTCTTCTGCCCTGCATCCTGGAAGTAAGAACATCAGTCAAATAAAAGGTATGGTCAGAGTTTAAAAAAAAAAAAGAGATTAATAATTAGATGAGAGAGCATCAAGGCAAACCATGTATTTGTGGAGCTTTCCCCTACCTAGTCACTTAGAAATGGAACAATTTAAAATGTTGTTGCCTTTACTGAATAGGAAGAGCAGCACACAGAGAAACCTGAGTATGTGATCCTTGTGTGTAAGTGATTCACCATGGGAGCACTGCAAATGGTCTTAGGCTGCTGCCTGTGAGCTCAGTGTGTCCTCTGCAGCCGCCCTGACTTCCAGTCTGCCAAATTAAAAATTGCTAGTACTCTCAAACTTCAGTTTAATTTTGTTTCTTGCAATACACAGGCATATGAAAAGCATATTTATTCTTCATGATCAGCTGTTCTGCTACAGAGGAGCTTTTTCATTTGGATCACCATACAATACTGCCTGCTCCTCTGCATTAAGAAACTACTCTATGAAAAAATGCAAACCACTACCCATACACTGTCTATGACATGTTCTGCTTTCAATTAAACGCATATGGCAGCACAAGCTAAAATTCCTCTTAGGAGATAAACACATTAGGCCAAATCTACACTAGCGAAAAGAAATGCTCTAATAAAGAGGTATTGTGAAAAAGGTTTGTTACTATCAGGATTTAGCCACTTGTCAACTATTAAGCACAATGGGTAGAACTGCTTCCTTTCATGTATTAGTTTAGTGTTCTGAATAAGAGGCCATGAAACTTTCTCTTGTGCTGATGTCTGATGACAAATGGACATCACTCTTTTCACTGCCTGTCTTTTCATTCGCAGCCCTAATACTCCAAGACTCAACCTCAAAAGCCGAATCCTATCTGTGCTTTACGTCTTTTCAGAGACACTTTGCCACGCCTGCCAGGTCTGCAGACTCAACTATTTTTCACTTCTTCACAGTTCACTCTTCCAGGAGGCACACACGAGCAGTTGTTAGTGATGATGATTTGGATACTATTTAGCTTTGTGCGTTTTTGTCAGTTTTGAAATACCTTTGTATTTTCATTCTACGGAGATGGCAGAGATATGCCAACAGCTGAAACTGCACCATCCATTACTGCAATTACCCACAAAGTAACTAACGAAATGGAGTTCTTAAAAAAAAAAATGGTTAGGACTTCATGGAGACCCTTTTTGATCAAGCTGTTTAACATCTGACACCTCACCACTGTGTTTTACAGTAATGAACAGGTAAGTTAGAAAGTTTCTCCCGTGAGCTAGTGAAATCCATGTATGCCACAGTCTGAAGTTTACACAGTGAAATATTACACTTACAGCTGTCTAGATGTGCATAAGTGAAAACAAGCATGTTAAAAGACGATTGTTCTGAACACTCCTTTAAGCACAAAAATGTACATCATTTAAGCTTTCTTTGCATCACATATCTGGTAAAGGAGAGGTAGAAATACCCACACTAAAACCTCCTTGGGTTTCTCCCTGCCACTAGAGAAATCCTACCTTGTAGTCCCAGGTAGGATTTGTATAGAAGGTCCTGTGGGGTAGACACTTAAGATCAGCCAGGCAGCAGATAATACAAAGCTAATACAATAAAGACCATCCAAAGAGCAATTTCTTCTCAAGGAGCTAGTACTACTACCTCTAATTTCACATGCCAAACTGCTTGGACAGCTAATGTGAGCAGACAGAGATTTCCTCATGGCTTAAATTACCGCATAGTGCAAAGACTGCTGGACACTAAGGGTGAATGGAGTACTGTACCACTTCGAAGCAGGAGGTCTGGAGCAGAAGCTATTAAATACAAAATGCATTAGTGCAATTCCTTAGGAAAGATTAACTCCTTAACCAAAGGATAGAAAAAATATAGAGCATTCTAAGTTAAAAAAAAAAAAAGAAAGTTTTAAACTTTATGCAGTTCTTATTGAGGTTTCAATCAGTGTTACACTTTTTCCCCCAAGTTTGTACCCCTGAGTCAAACATTGAATAAACATTGTACAGTAGGTACAGAAACTAGTGTCTAGTTAAAAAGCAACAGGTTTGAATGGCCATTGCTTCCCAAGTGTTGAACAGTGACAATAACCCTCCATATGAGAGAAGGAAAAAAATAGCACTCTCATTTGCTCTTAGTTTATAACTAGGTAAAAGATCTCAACAGTTTCCAACTACATTTTTTCCGTGTATTAGGCTGACATTTGTGATAAATAAAACCTTCAGTAAGGAAACCTGTTGGGGCTGCATCATTTGAGTCTGCATGGTTGAGAACAACTACAACAAAGCAAAGCAATCTTTCCAAGTTATAAGTTGAATGAGACTATGTTAATCTTGGAGCACTATGTGAAGGGAGGCAGAGTTCTCTGACTATGATTATAGGGGTTCTAAACTCAATACCCCGTATTTCCAATATATTTTACTAGAGTAATAACTAAATTGCTATAACTTGGCCTTTCGGCCTCTATTACAATGGAATATTAACACTTTCACTAACTCAAACATGGTAACATTCAGCTCACTAGAACTTCTGCTGACTGTCTCCAAGAATAATTCATGCTTTTTGCACTTTTCTTCTTGCTTTCTTTACAACATCGGGAATAAAAGCTTATTTAGAAGGCAGGTTCAGGAGCAACAAGGACTCACTGTTAATCATTTGGTTTGTTTTGAAAAAAATGTGTGAAGGACCACCCTATGTTAATGGGTTTAGGAGAGTCTTCATCATCCTTTGGAGGAAGAAGAAACTGTCGGGAATTAATGGAGCATGGGCTCCCAAAGGATGCATTTTCATTGTTGCTTTCAACTGACCCAGGAGAGTCCGGAGTGTCCATGTTCCAGGCATTTGTGTTTGCTTGAGGTCTGTAACCTGCAGTTTTATCCAATTCTTCCTCCACAGGTGAGCGACTCTCTGTATTCATAGCACTGACGGACAGCTGCATTTGTGGCTTATAGCCTGCTGTAGTCACTACGTCTATTTCTGGCTCCTCCTCTGATTTAATTTGAGGCTGATACATGGATTGGATGTCAATGTAAACCACCTGAGATGACCCCCCAGGTTCATCCGTAGGGGGATTTGAGATCTCCTCCTCAATGATAGGGGGGCAGTAGGACACAACAACATGGTTCTCCATTTCTGAGTCAGAGCCATCTTCAGGCACGGTGGTGTCTCCTGCTGGGGACATCATCTCTGTGTCTTCAATCTTGGGAGCTGCAGACTGTGTTTCCACCACTTCAACACTATTGGGGGTGCATGGGTTCATTTCCAGTGTTTTAAGTGTCTTATTCCCCTGAAGTGAGAAAAAGGAGAAGGGGGAGAGACTTAGCTAAAATTCTGGAAAACGTGAAAGCAACAACTTGCCCAAATTACACCAGTGTGTCACTTGCGGATTGTACTCATCCCACAGCCATTAATACAATATAACCACAAAAACTGGTTATGATTTTTTGGCTCATCACGTATTCCTGTTAATGTTAAAAGTATTTTACACAAACTAAAGAGACTTGAGATCTTGCAGTGTTTGATAACTCTTTCCCCAAATCTCAGCTTTGTATAACCCATTCCAGAAGGCTGTTTAAATGCCCACTTCCATCTACTGTAATTACCAGGAGGTTAGGACATGGTATATGCACATCCTCATACTTTCTACTTCTGCTAACACTGTCACGAAGACGGGTGTGTTACTCCCACATCGTTATCACATACTGACACTTCTTATTAGTTCAGGAAAAGAGAAACGCAGGGGTCCTTTCCCAATGCAAACATTACAAGTAACTACACTAACAACAACAAAACTCTAGATAGCACCTGACCAAAGTTACTCAGTAAATTGGCTAGTTTCCCCCTGCCACAGAGTTTTTTCTGCAATTGGAACAGATGAGTCAAGGTTTGCAAAAGAATTCTTTAATTTGCAATATCTTTCAGAAGTTTAAAATACTACATTTAAAATGAGAGTTACCTCGCAGATGTTCCTCTGAAACTGCAGTGCCTTACTGTTCTCAGGATTTGGGATCTCTGGATAAAATGTTTCTTTAATCCTTCAAAGATGAAAGAATAAACTTTTATAAGTTAGCAAGGCTCGAAACAGATTGCAAATACACAAAAGGAGTCAGGACGTTTCTCTTTAATTCAGAATACTGAAGACATCTGGTGCAAAGATTTAGTGCATTGAACTTTCCCTGAGCATAATGGAAAAAACAGCAACTTTTTTTTTTTTTTAAGTACGGAACTTGGTATGTCACATTTACTAAAAGTCAAAGATGGGATATCTACCTGAGTGTTTGTGGATGGCACAAATTACAGTATGTTGCCAGTTTATTTCCATTTGGAAACCATTTGAAAACAGTGCTCACTGGGAGACAGGCTCCTGAAAAACCTTTTTGCATTCCTCACTCTGACCTCTCTCCAATGTGTCTCCTTCTACAATGTGTTTTTGCCATCCAACTTTGAACAAAGCCCACTGACATCTTTGGGTACTTAGAGACAACAAAGAATGACTGCAATGATGGAATACTCTAGCACTGAAACCAACACTTCCAGGAGAAGATGAGAACTGAATGCAGGCACTCACCATTCCCTCTTTCGGTAGCAGAAGATGCTGGCCACCACTCCAAGCAGCACCACCACTGCCACGGGGATGAGAATTGCAATGATTAATCCTACAGCTGGGGGATAAAAAAGGGAAGGACAGTAAATATATATCCAAAGTTATCAGCAAGTTTTAGGCCTTTTGCAACATTCACAGTGATTAAAGACCATTTCATCAAACTCATGTAACAGTGGTCTGCAAAGTGTGACCTATACTATTACCCTTCCCCTTGGCTGGAAGGGCTACAGTCCACCCAATAAGCAGAGCTGATTCAGTGACAACTACAGGAATCAGGAGATACTTCTATCTGATTGCTTAATTGCAAAAGGCTTCACATGCTACAAAAGACCAATCCCACTGTGATTCCGTTCTCACTAAGCACCTGAATTGCACTTTCATGCTACCTGAGCTGGCCAAGCCTTCGGTAATGGCTCTTATAGGCCAACAACTCATTGCACAAACTGCACTGTCTCTTATATGGTTTACAAGGCTTCTAATAATAATGGCCCATCTTCGTGAACGAAGATTTGGGGAAAGGTCTTTTACCTTTCCAGCCTGCGCAATGGATTTTTTAGGTGAGACACAGCCTGCGCTGAACTGAGCCCACCCTTTAATCCTAAGGTTCATCTGCCGGGGCCAAGCAAGCTTGGACAATGGCAGTGAGGTCCTCAGGACGTAGGTTTGTTTAGAGTGACCTTCTCACAGATGGATGGCCTCACAGGCCTAACGGACTCCATCTGCCCGGGACAAGGCTTCTAATCCCCAGGTTTCAGCTCCAACACATTCCCACTGCCTTCCTCCATTGATATTAAGTGTCTCAAGTTTGATTTTTCATGTATTTTAGTTGCACTGCAGTGTCTTTCATTAGAAATAATTTTTTTTTTTTTTCCTCTCTCTTTCCCCAAAGTCAATCTCTTTTTTTTTTCTAATTGCCTTTTTGTGTTTGTTTCTGTCAGGGGATCAATAAAACTGAATTCAAAGCAGAGAGGCATCTGTTTACAATTCTGAAACTGATAAATATTTCCACAATGTCTCTCTTCCCACCATCTATTAGCAGATATTCATCATGGGAAACCTGACAAAAACAACTAGCTGCTTGAGAACACTAAGCTCAGACTCCACTATATTTAGTAGTAGCTTAGAAGTTATTTTTCTTGCATACATTACCATGAACTACAAAGTAGCTGCAATCAGAAAGGATCTTGCCCTCACCCTGAACTGTATCAATTTTTGTATTTATAAATAACCAACTAAACAAAGGAAAAATCAGACTATAGGCCCAAACTACCTAGGGAGACCAGAAAAAAACCAATAAAATAAGCTCAGCTTTATATACATTGTACAGCTCCTGTACTTAAGACTATTAATGAACAGAGATAATCAACTTACAGTCCTCCTTTGTCACCACATAGAGGCTGTTTGGAGGGCTCAACCCACCAGCAGTGTAGGCTTGTAGTTCCAGCTGGTAACTTGTTTTGCCTTGAAGATCAAGTATTTTCATAGACTTCTGTGTTAAGTTAGTGATGTTGTTAACTTTAAGTTCTGGATTCCCTGCTTGTTTGGAAGCAGTAAGAAAAGCATAACTGCGTAAGAAGGGATTCACAAAGACAGCCTGAGCTTTAGCAAAACTTTCTTGAAGCCAGCATATGAAACCTGAAGAACTGTCTGTGTAGAGGAAAACTGAAATAAAGAATTCTATCAATGCTGCTTGCTTATACAGCACCAAACAGCAAAGGAGTGTGGTGTTGCCACTGCAGAGTGACCTCATTTCCTTACACTCCTGCTTGTCCTCTTATGTCAGTGTGAGTCAGGCTTCAGTTCTGTACAAGATGGGCACTGAAAGAATATACCCTATTAAATACAGCCATGTAACCTCCCCCTGTCTCATCCACTCAGAGTATCTGTGCACAGGACAGCATGACACATTGCTGCTTAGTCACTGCACAACTTTATAGCCTGACTGAGCCAGGGTTTTCTCCAACTTTTGCTTTATATTGAAAAACAACCACACAAGGAGCTGATTATTTTAAATGCCTTTGCACATATCAGGGGCCAGTTATGCCAATGAGTAATGCAAGTGAATTATTATTAAAGCATCTTTTTTATTCAAGTGAAATTATTTAAAAAAAAACAGGAGAAAAAGAAAAAAAGGAACACAGAATAAGCAAGGAAGTTGTAATCTATACAACCCATTTACCTGATTCTGAAAGTCTAGGCTTTAAAGCATCTTTTTCACCTTTTGCAAAGGAAAGAAGATATCCTTTTAAAAACCCTCGGCATTCTTCAATAGGAATATCTTCCCACCTTACCAATATAGAATCTGAAGAAGTTTCTTCGACAGTAAAATTTGGTGCACTTTTTGGAGCTGTAGGGAATATTATGAAGAAAGAAACTAGTTAGAAATCACCTTAACATTAAATGCTGAAACCATGTAAGTGTTTAATCAGTTTTATTTCAGGGTTAGCATTTCCAACCTTTTCCTCGACACTTTTTCCCTCACTGTTAAGAACACGTGAAAAGACTTAGTAGGTAATGCTACAGATGTACAGCTACGTTGGTCTCATTGTTATTATTTACTCCAGTATTACCTACTAACAGATGCTGAAATAAAAATTTCTCCAGTCAGCCTTCTTACAGATTCATACATGTAAATACCGTTCTCCCTGCAACAAGCCCCAAAAGATTCTATAAACATTCAGAGGATACAAATTACTTAGCTTTTAAAGGCTTTAACTCTAACTTCATAGCTTTTCCTAAAATTAAACAAACTCCACATTCCTATTATGGAAATCTATCTTAGCTTAAAAGAGCTACTCTTAGCAGTCTTTGCAAGTCCTTATTCCAATAACTGAAGCCTACTGAAAGGTCACATGCACCAGGACTTAGTCTGACACTTGGCTTTGATCTACAAATGCTAAAATCATGTTTAAGAATGCATCCATTTTTCTCTTGGTTATCTGTCCAAAAGCAAATCTGAAGTTTTACAACGAATCTGTGCTCTTGCGCAACATGAATACATTTCTCAGTTCCTAATAAGTTTCTTCTGCATGTTCAATGCATTTTTAGTCCCCCAAACTCTTTATACCTTGAAAGCTCCTGATCTGGTCAGAACACATATGGAAAACTGTTCAGAATTTTTGCAGATATACAAATGATTAAAAGTTGAGTTTCTGGTAATATTGCCTTAACCTCACCTTCAACCTTAGCAATGAAATAAACAACTGCCTTTTCAAGGGCTCAGATTATGTCAGCAATTCAGTTTTCTAGGCAAACTATTCTAGCAGATCACACATTGAACTTCAAAGCGAAATGGGTGTTGTAGTTACAATACAATACAATACAGCTGTGGTCTTAAAGGGTAAAGTCATGTTCAGACACCTGGGAACAGAAAGCATTCAGACACTAATGCATCTCCAGGCCAGCAAAGTTCAGCCCTGGGTCAAACCCCAGTTACCCAGACAGGATTGGTATGGGACAGAATACAAGCACAATTCCCAAAGTGGTTTTTGCTCTAAGTTCTAGTTTTGGTCTAAGAAGTGTTTTCAAACAGAAATGTTATGGACACTTTTTATATTTGCTGAGCTGTACCAAATGTGCTCAGAAGTTTACTTTGACTTGATGAATCAAAAAAGTTGCCTCCTCTCCTGCAGAAGTGATGTCAGCCATGTGTTTCAAATTATGCCTGTGCCTCCAATTGTGAAGACCACTGTCTTCAGAGTGAACTTCTGTGCCACCACACAGGCTGGAGAACATGGGGTTATTGCATGCTTGGAACTGGCTGGAGAAATATATTACAGTTATACACAAACAGAAGTCAGTAGTACCGCATGGCGATTCTGGTCTTAATCTTCTTCTGCCAACACTGAGCTAAAAATAGTCTAAATTCACTTTGTAGAGATCCTGAATGATAAAGTGCACTTACGCAGCTCTTTCATATACCCAGTTATGTTTTTCAACAACTGATATCCAGTGGATTTGCAGCCATACACTGAAAAGTTGTATCTCACACCAGGTTTAAACAGAGCTGCAAGAGAAAATTGCTGTAAGAATATTTCACTTCTGAAGAATGATGCTTTTAAGTTTCATATGATTATTAAATAAATATGTATTAAAAAATTACAAAGTGTAATGGCATAAATACCATCCCTACTTGTAATTCCTACAAAAGCCATGCCATCAGATGTGGTTTAGAAGCAGTAACCTAATCTGGCTCCTAGAGAAAGTTTAGTACTAAACAAAGAGGATTCAAAACAAGCTACTCAAATTGCATAAACTGCTTTTTCCATAGGTAAACACAAACTGAAGTTACCAGAAATAATCCCCTTCCTTTCCTCCCACAGTAACCATGTAGATCCTGCCTCCTCTTCAGAAATACAAATACAATTTGAAATAACCAGTCTTATTGGAGCAACAGTATGAAAGATATGGAAATAACTCTCAAAAGTGATAATGAAGCACCTTGGCAATGAACTTCAGTCCTGAACTGACTTTACAAAACAAATAGTCTTAAAAATTATGCTTCACATACGTTTAATAGGTGTTTGATGCTACAACATGTAAATAATTTACCACTTTCTGGGCTTTTCTCAAGTCAGGGCTGTACACTACTTTCAAGATTTTTTCTAAACAAGATGCCACTGTGAAACCATACAGAAGTAAAGTTGGTTTTGTAAGCATCAAGGTCCAGCCTGAGAGATTCTCCTGACAGGATTAAGCACAGAGGTGGATTTGCCCATTTGAGCCCAGCCCTAGCAGCTTGATAACTTCCACAATGTGCTGCAAGAACCATTCCAGGGAAAAGCTCAGGAGTAGGGCAGTGCACCACTGAACAGACATAGTATTCTCTGCTTGAAAAAAGCAAGCTCTAGATAGCACGAACCAAAACAACATAGACACAGTGTTGTAATTACAGACAGAAAAGCATATCGCCCCCAGCCTCCCAGGTCTCACTCCCCCTCAACTTTCCTACGTACACAGCTCCAAGTTGTTTTCCTGAATGGAGACTTTAATACTAAAGCAAATATATATTCTAAAAAGCAAATATACACCATTTGAGACAGCAGAGAAAAAATCCTATCTCTTTCATGGGTCCTCTCTTTCCTCTTCTGCTCCTCCTAGTCCCACCACAGCTGAGTTTCATTTCCCTGATCTGCCCACCAGCATCTAGAGACCTGGAATGTGCCCTGTTCCAGGAAATTTCAATTGTTGACAGCAAGCCAACACATGGAGGTCACACTTAAAAAAATCTGCCTCATGTAAAAACAACGGATTAGTCTTCCCCCATCCTGAGCAGCACTGTTTATGTTTGGAATCCAAATAAAACCCCAAACCCTAGATTAACCATTATGCATTAGGCTGAGTTAGGAAATTGTTGGGTATAGCTAGAAGAGGTAATTTCAAAGCAGTTAATAAACACAGGATGATAAAAGTTAAGTCAAGGCTGGTATTTCGATTTGGCAAGACTGTGTAAGAAATTAAAATAAACACAGTACCAAAAAGGATTTCACTTATTTACACAAGTATGCAGCAATGAAACAATCTTCAACCTATAGCATTGGTGCTGCTCTCACTCCACTCGCTGCTCAGGCTCTCCAGAAAGACTAGTAAGAAATTATTTTTGACTTACCAGATTTTATCACTGCATTTGTTGTGTTTGAAGGAAATTTCTGCCAGTCCACACTACAGGGTTCAGACCCAGACGAATGACACCATTTTACTACGTAGCCACAGGTCATGTTGGGGTAAGAATCCCAAGAAACATTAATTCCATTCCCCATTGCCACGGCCTGTCCTGTTATGATATTGTCTGCAACAAAGGTGACACAAAAATCAATCAGAGGGCAGACACTTGTCTATAGGTCAAGATGAAGAAAGCCTTCCAGACACAGCACAATGGCTTTATAAATGGCAGTCATTTCTAAGAAAGAGAGGTGTGCATGAACTGTGAAATCCAACAACTGTGCAACTGTGTTGCACTTAGCTGTGCTTTCTGGAGTGCTCGAAATCAGACGTAGCCTGCAGCAAATCCCTCAGCCAGCCTTAAGTATGGTGACGAGAAATGCAGCAACTCAAGACTGGCTCAAAAACCACTTTTTCAAGGTAAGGATTTACAGCAGATGTCAGATTCAAATATGAATTGACACCAATTTGGCAGGAGCCTCCAGCTATAAATTCCTGCTGTCATTTCATCAAATGGTTTGCTTTGTGTTTCTTTCAGAGTGTCTTGCTGTCACTCGCCCAACCACAGACATCCATTTTTCACCAAGAATCAACAGCAATAATCATATCCCTGGCAATCTTTAATGGAGGCTTCAGTCTACCAAGGGTAAATTAAACAAACAAACTGACAAAACAAAACAAAAGCAAGCAAGCTTTGCCTTTTGTCTATTTTTCTGGTTTCTGATTATCAAAGGTTAAGCTTCCCTTTAAGTGATCAGATCTGGGAACAGCTTCTGATTCCTGCAGCTTCCCTCCATGGCTGTCCATCAGCCGGGAGCCTGCAGAGCTAAGGGATGGTTTCCAAAGGCCACCACAAAAGCAGTGGCCCCATGACAGACCTACAAAAACAATCTCAGGGTTTTAGTTTTCCTTTTTCAGTGTTCTCATTTACGCTCCCTATTGAGTCTATTATTTCATTTTATTAAAGCTATAAACTATGGAAGGCTGAAGGGCAAGGACAGCTTTTAGGAATCAGTGCTATGAAAACTTTACTCTCACAGACATGCTGTGAATGTTGAAGAATGTCTATTTTTAAATAATCTTAACATACAGCTAAGTGTACAATCCTTTTCTAGCTTGCTTATGGCAAGAAAAAGACATACGATTAAAAAAACAAGTCAACTCCACAAGTGTTTCCATACTTTTTCCAAAAAAACTACTATGTATCCAGTGAAACTACACTTCTATGATGCTGGAAAAGACAATATTTCTAATTAGCTGGCTTTAATTTTCCTATTTACAGAAAAGAGGTTTCACTGACTCTGACCACATGCTCTAAAAAATGCTTAAATACACGACACTCAATTTCATTTCCTGAGCTAGATGACTAGAAATTCACCATGGGCAGTACTGCTCATTTTGATGCATTTATAGCTGCAAAGTAGACTAGCAGAAAATAACTACTAGCACTAGAGTACTGCTGTGGTAGGAGAGCCTGGAACAGCCAGATTATATGCCCCAACTCTCTACAGAGCACTTTTCAGAAACAGTGACAAATTAATTAAGGCAGAACATCCTTTGTGTTTTCAGTTTTCAGACAACCTCAGCAGATCTCCAGCTTCAGAGCCACTGCTCTCTTATGGACATTAAAACCACTTACAGACTGTACACAGGAAGCAGACAGAAAAGATGTTTGGGCAAAAATGTCATCCAGTTCAGTCAATGAGTCATCTTTCATGACTCCAGTCAGTGACTCAGATAATTCCTATACCAACTTGGGAGCAAATCTTTAATGAGTACAAGTTGGGTAACACCAAAGGGGACCTCAGATATTTGAGTGAAAGCTATAAATGAATGCAAACCTCTAGCTGCCATCAGCTATCCCACACCACAAACTGATTGCCTCTCTGATTCCCAGGGTTTTGTTCTTTTACTGCTGAAGGAGAGCTCTACAAGCACTTTCAATCAACTGTCCCACACAACTACTTTTCCCTCCAACAGGCAGACTAAGAACATACTTTAAGGTACTGGTGTTGGTGCCGTGTCCAGTTCTGGGCTCCTCAGGAGAAGAAAGATGTGGAGGTTCTGCAGCGGGTACAGTGGGGGGCAACGAAGATGATTAAGGAAATGGAGCATCTCTGTTATGAAGGAAAAACTGAAGGAGTTGGGCCTGTTCAGACTCAAGAAGAGAAGACCGAGAGGGGACTTCATCAATGTCTATTGGTATCTGAAGAGAGGGTGCCAAGAGGATGGAGCCAGGCTCTGCCTAGTGGTGCCATGCAATAGGACAAGAGGCAATGGGCAGAAACTGGAGCACAGGAAGTTCCATCTCAATATGACGAAGACCTTCTTTACTGTGCAGGTGACCGTGCACTTGAACAGGCTGCCCAGAGAGACTGTGGAGTCTCCCTCCCTCACTGGTGATATTCAAGAACCATCAGGACAGAATCCTGTGCCATGTGCTCTGGGATGACCCTGATTGAGCAGGGAGGTTGGACCACTGCGGTCCCTTCCAACCTGACCCATTCTGTGATTCGTTTCTTGGAGAAGCTCAAGAAACATTACGTACAATGGTTTTCCTTTACATAGAAAAAACCCTTGTTTTTTCATCTCACTCTGAATCTCATCCAAACCCCTTTTCTTCCTGTGAGAGATGGCCTTGTTTTATCAGAAACTGAGTTGCAAGACAGCAGCTGTTATACCCGTTCTCTAGGTGGGCAAGGAGAAGCAGATCCATGCATGCTCCTGGCAAACAAGCAGAGAGAGGCCTTGCTGTGTAAATCTGTCCCCCCTGCAGAGTACCAACCAGATCTGGAGCTAGAGGTTTGGGCTTTGGGAGATTATACTCTTCCTGGCAGTTAGGGAAACGTGGACTCTCAACAACCTCGCACAATATTATTTTCTCCCCAAGTTCAGTGTTATGAGCAGAAAATCATTATCTAGCTCAGCTATTTCCCTTTACAAAAGCCCTCAGCAAGAGCAGTAGTGCTTTAATTGGGAAGATAAAGCCCTACCTCCTTTTCAAACACTGTCTGCCTAGCACAAGGATGCCAACACTTTACCAACCAGCCCAATTAATATTCTCCTGCAGAGCTCAAAGGCATTGAACCGACAATTCTCGCCTCAAAAAGGCACACAACACCCCCAAAACTTTATTCTGATTCTCTTTAGCATGTAACACTTCTTAGTGCTCAAAAAGAACACACAGAAATAAACTCAGCTCCCTAAATATCCACACCAATGCTTTGAAGCCTCATTCATTTTGTTCCTGGGAGGTCTCCAGAAAGTGCAAATAGCTGCAAAGAGTGCACACTATCACACTTCTTTTATGTAGAGAGTACGATTAATTGGCAAGACACTGAAAGCAAAGAAGTATTTTTTTCCCCTACCCAGTAGATTTGGGTAGGGAAATAAACACAAACAAACAAAGCATTATTTTTCAATCAACAAACTCATTCTGGCTTTGAAGGTGTTTAACTCATGGCTGGGAGCACTCACCACTTGGAAGTTCCACGCTTGTTATCCTTGAAGGAGGAGACGAGCCTGCTTGGTTTTTGGCTACAACACTAATTACACAGTCATTCTTTCCAAGTTTTATCTCTGTACTGTTTGAGGGTTCAGTGACTACTTTACGCTCCAGTGGTGTCTCTAGCAGGTAGCAAGACACTTCGTGTGACATTATTCTCCCATTGGCTTCAGAAAGGGGTAAGGGCTATGAACATACAAAGAAAAACCATTAAAACCAAAATGCAGTATACAGAAGAAGACACAGGAAAATATGAATTTAATGTTCCTGATCTAGTCTGATGTCTGTATAAGAGTATAAGCCAAAAAAGTTATGCAAGTGAGAATTAGCACATAAGTTCCCAAGTTTTTACTTTTCAACTGGGATGCATAAAAAGTTTAATTCTTCCTGTGAAATGTTTCTCAATAGAATGTTTAAATTATAAAATTTCAATAATATTTTCATTTGGGGAAAAATATTTGTCTCAACGGATGGTTCCAAAAAAAAAAGCTAAGAAAAGCAGTCTGGTTTATTGACTATATAGTTCACTAATTTATAAATGTGTAAAAAAATTTTTTTTATAGAGTTACATTACATAATATTTTAAAAGTTCAAGTGTCCTATCTACCTTCCAGAAGATTTTTAGACTTTCTCCAGAAGGACTTCTCTCTCTCCAGATGTCTGGTCCTCTTGCAGGAGCTTAGAAAAACATAAGAGTGGCAGTTTATTTTCCCAAGTTGCACAGTAGACAATTTACCATCTATTGAAAAGTTAGGTTTTTAGACAACTAATTTAAAAATATATGGCCTCACAAGTCCAACATTTTCTCACCAAAGAGTCAGATAAACTTACGGGCTTCTGATGTTGTGTACTCTACTCGGCTCCAGTCACTCCACTTCCAGAAATGGTCAGCAGCTGAACAGCGCACCCTGAACTGATATTTGGTATATGGGAGCAACGCATTCAGATGAGCTGTGTAAGTTGAGGATTTCCCACCAGGCATGGAGATATTGTACTGTTAAAAATTTACAGAAATTGACATGATATATTTTTTTTCTCCTAGTTTATGCTGCAAGTCAGTACCTAAAAAAGATGATATTTTTCCCCGAGAATGCTCACAGTCTGAAAGCTGCAGTCAAGCCCTATGAAGAAAATAATGAAAAAGAAAAATATTTCCTGTGCAGCCACCCTAAACAAAGGAAAAATTTTCAGAGGTCCACCCAAATAAAGTCATATATAGCACAGAAATTGAAATATGACAGTAGGTAGCACCTTTGAGTTGTAAAGCACGAAATGGAGAGGGAACACTGATGAGCCTTCAACAGGAGGAGCTCTGCACACAATAGCAGGCTGTTGCTTCCTATCTATCCCATCCCGTCCCTCGCTCTCCTATATGCAGCAAAACTGCTCACATGACGCAGGCCAGGATTTCACCTCAGGTATTCAGAACCTGCACTTCCACTGAGCACATGCACATCAGACTGTCGGCACAGAGGCTTTTTTCTTACGAGACATGCACAGAAGTACACTAAAGACAGCTTGTTAGAGCAAGATGTTTATCATACAGTTTGCTTCCTCCATTTTTCTTTAAAAAAATAGTATACAAATCTAACCCAGGTGACCTCAGTTCACAGCTCTTATGAGAGGACTAGTCTCTCCTATTATTCTTAAAATGGTGTGAGTCTAGGAAGCATTTTAGTTGCATGATTACTTAAAGAAATTCTAAGCCTGGGAATATTTTTTACTGAATCTAATTATAACACATGTGCACCACAGCTGCCAAAAACTGGATTCCAAGTGACTTTAAGATGCAACTAATTGTGCATTTCTAAAGCCAAATGACAACTTCAAAAATACTGGAAAAGCCAACAATCTCTCATACGGATGGAAAAGCTTCTGAAAACATCCTCAAAATGCCATGTAAAACTCCATAACAATTTCACAGCTACTTTCGTTTGTTAGGGAGAACTCCTGGAGTTTTTTTATTAAGCAACCAGCAACAATATAACAACTGTAAAAGCTTCTACCGAGCTCTTTGCTGCATTACAAAATATCTGTAGCTGTGGGCTCTGATACAGGTGCTGGGAATCAAACTTCTGTGGAAGTGTAAGACCTGACTGTCTCCCACTGCCCCAGATGATTGCTTTGCTAGCACAGTTCACACATGAGTGTGTGCCGAAGGCTTTGAGCTTCATATTCCAAAAATACCGATGAGTTCCTCTGCAGTACTTTATCTCTGGTATTAGTTAACACATGTCGTTACAGAGAAAATATAAAAGCTTAAGGCTTACACACTCATTAAGTGCTTTGAAAGTATTTTAAAAATAGTCTTACAGAGCATGCATTAACTACTACCCTATTATTTTAGAGGCATGTACATAATGATTATCTTCAGTCTTAGCTGTATAATTTCTCTGGCTTGACCTAAGTTATTCAAGGCTGTGCCCAACCGCTGCGCCCAACTAGCAACTAAATGCAGAGGGTAATAGGATACTGCTAAAAATCAAACAAGCACTGTAAAAAACAGCCTCTGAGGTTAATGTGCTCAAATTACAAATTCAGGCTCTGTGCAGCAAGACCTGACAATTCAGCATGTGCCTACCCAAAATGGTCAGAGATCTGAATGCACAAAGAAATTGGGGGTAGATCTCAAGCCAACTAAACATGCAGTTGTCATTAGGCTTCCCCAGTGACACAGGTCACACCACACTAAGTTAAGCAGTACAGAAGAGGATATATTCCCACCACCTACAGTCAGTGTCTGATACTGGTATCTAAATTAGTATCCTAAGCTCCTCTGACAGTCAGCAGAGTAAATATGCAGCTCCAGTCAGTGACACAGAACACCAAGCTGGGCAGCAGCTGGGAGCATGAATGGCTGAAAATCTGAACCCAACCCGCAAATACCACCTTCTCTCCTCACTGGGAGATGACCTACTGATACAGCCAGTGGGAAAATCCTTCCCTATCCTGTCTCTACATCACCGACATACAAGCAGGTTTAGCAGCTGCCTGTTATGGCCACATGCATGTCTACCTGCTGAAAGGAAACAAATGAACTGTTCTCCGAGGAGAGAGAAAAGAGAAATTCAGCTGCAGACTACAAGATCTGAAACAACCACCATGGAAGTCTTCAAGGCAGCAGTGCATCCTGGAACAACTGTGTATTAATAGTTAATGTTAAGTTTGCACCTGGAAGGACTAAGCACAAGGACTGTTACCTAAAGCATTAGCATAAAGCACTATGCACAGTCTCCAAGTACCAAACAACATGGTGTGTAATTTGACTTTGCTCTAAACGGTTTAAAACAAAACAAAAAACCCCCCCCAAAAAAACAAAAAAAGAAAAGAAAGAAAGAAAAAGAGAGAGAAACCAGGCAACAACAGAGATGAACAGGAAGTTTTCTGATTTTAGTAAATGAACCTCTACTCTTTACTACATTAATCATTTAATAAGATTATCAGAATGAAGCTCTTAGCATGAGAAAAGAATTTGAAATGTGATTAGTTCAGTGAAAAAGATCAACATCTGTGCCAAAAAATAATCCCTTAAAAGCAACACTTACTAGTTTTTGCTCAGAGTGACCACTGCTAATTTCAATTTGACACAGAAGCCTGATCTCAGCAAAGCTGCCATTTATAAACCAATGCAGATGAATGCTTGTAGAGTTGTTTTCAGAAACAGTCAACTTCTCTGGGGTTTTTGGATGAACTAAAAAAATAAAGAAAAAACCTTCAGTTCTAAGTCAAAAACCCATATTCATTTCAGTTCAGAAAAATCTGATTTTAAAAGATCAACGAGAATCAGAAGGATAAATGATCCAATCAGCAACTGGGAAAACTGGTGCTGGGAGGCACCTGCAAGCAGTCTCACTCCTGACACTCTTCTCAGCTATCAAACATGGAAACAGATTTACTTAAGACCGAGTGTACCAGCACATGAGATAAAAACTTGGAGACACAGATAAATATTTTCCCTCTCACTGACTTTATCAAAAAAGTACTCTGAGAATTCTAATCTTAAAATAGTTAATCTGGAACCTGGATTAAAAAAAATGCACCATCTTCATGTTTAAATTCAGCTTTTTGGGGGACGGCAGAATACTGTAACCAATAGGAACGCCTGAAATCTCAGCTGTGGTTGTGGAGACAGAAGGAAAAGGGTGAGGAAGACAGTAATAAAAAGGTGGTCATCTCCCTTTCCTTGTTTAAACTGAAGGTGTAATGAAAGGAGTTATTTCTTTCTCCAAACTATGACAGCAGATTATAGCTATTACCAACAGCGTGTAATAGTCCTGATATTACCTTTTATCATTTTATGCTACATTTTTTATGCTCCAAACCCTGATGCTGCAAAACTGTATGGTATTTTGCCCTATAAACAGAGACTGAAATACAAGGTCATCCACAGTTCCTAAAGTTACACCTAAATTTAAATTATTGATGTGTAATAAAATATGAAGCAATACATAAACTTGCCCAGAGAAGCTGTGGATGCCCCATCCCTGGAAGTGTTCAAGTCCAGGTTGGATGGGGCTCTGAGCAACCTAGTCTAATAGGTGGGATATGGCAGGAGGTGGGGTGTGAGGATTGTGTGTGGTGTATTGGCACCAAATGATTTTTAAGGTCCCATCCAACACCAGCCATTCTATGATTCACGATAAGCAGCAGCTAGCTAATTATTGGCATTTATATCAACACTAGCACTGTGTACAATCTGGTAGCATTTCTGTTGAGAACTGTCATCTCCCTGTACACATCACTGCCTCAAGACATGTCCTGAGTCAAGTGCAAATTACTGAATACAGCAAAAAGCTGGTGACAATAAAGCAAAATAATGGAAAGTATACCACCTCAGAGTTCTTCAAACACCAAACAAACAAATGGTTAGCATGTAGTAAACATATCTTTTTGCCTTTTTAAGTCATTACTATTACCTCTTTGAGTTATATCAACCAAAAGAGATGACTCTGCTTGCCCAATAGGATTGGAGACACCTAATATGAAATCATAGATTTTTTGATCAGGCAGTACTGGAAAGCCACAGACACGCTCTCTGTTCATTTCATTGACTTCACATGAAACATTTTTACCAGATGTTCTAAAAAGTAAAAAAAGGAGACGGAAAAGATTAATTTTTGAATAAGTTAATTTCCAGTAACAGTTAGAACTCTAGACTGAAAACACAGTACAGAATGATGGGTTCAGTTCACACGGCTTACAGGACGATTTGATTGCAGAGGCATATCTAACACCACAATGCAGGTTAAAGTGGCAACAGTCATGACCTGCCCTGTTCTCATGTGAAACTCTCCTCTCCTACTAGCATAACATTTCCATTCACTCACTTCTCAAAAGCCTCGAAAACAGGTAGGTCCTGTAAAACCACCTCACAAGTTACGACTAAGATTCTGACTTTAAGTATCTTTGTTCAGATCAGCATACATTTACATTTAAAGAATTCTTTTAATTGCTTTCTGAACTAGTGAGATGCTACACACATTGTCTTTCTAAAGCCCTGTCAAATCTGAACTAAAGTTTGTTACGTGGAATACATCCGCTATTCCCAGTTATTTTTTAATCAACAGCAGGAGAGGCAGTCTGGTAACAGCCAAGACCAGTGGTGCATCTCTGGGGGTAAAATCTAGAGTGTGCATCTGTATATACGTATGTATATTTGCTTTAATTACAATCTGTGTAAGCCTCTCATTCAGTAGCACAAATTTAATTAACTTCTTCCTTCAGGCATTTTTATTGTGTTCTAGCTGAGCTCTGAGCTCTCTCCACATCATACTCTCTATTTCAATAGTTCAGTGTGGGCTGAGAACAAGAATGAGAATATTTACCCTGAAATGCATCACATCAATCTCACAGCTTTGGGCTGAACATAACAAGACTGGACAACATCCTTGTTTATAAGCTGAATATCAGCAGTGAGTGACTGGAGCTCCTCTCCTTTGAATACTTGCTCTCTTTTGTCCACCTCTTTGCACCCTACCCAAGGACTTCTTTAGCATTAGCACCCTGGTTGACATCCGTGGCAGTAACTCAAACCTCATGGCCTCTGACTTGCTTCAAAGCCACCGCAAGACTCCATTTCTCATCAGTTTGTGTGACTCAGGCCTCTCCTGGCTCTTTTTCCTGACTGCTCCTTTGGCATTACATGGGAGCCTCCTCACCATGGGAATTTTGTTAACTCCTCACTAACTTCTAATCACAACTACCAAGGAATCCCAACTGCAAGTGCTATTCCAACCAATGATTCCTCACTTTTAAGGCTTTACATGGCCTACTCTGTAAGACAATGGGGTGGGACATTACTTGACTACTTTCCATGGATGACATCAGCGCTTTCTTCCCTTTCAACATTATACAGGTAATATGTATATTTTGCCTGCTCTATACTATCTAATCCTTAATGCTGAGAGGAGAATGGCTGTAGGCTCATTGCTGTTTTTCCTAGTGGCATGGGAAATGCACCATGACCTGTCTTATAATTCTTTCTCAGTGGGCTTCTTGCCATCTTGCCTAGCAGAAGTAAACATCTGACAGACAATCTGACCCAGGTTTCATATAAAAAAAAAAAATTAAAAATTAGTGATTGACTCATTATCTACTTGTATTTTCATATTGGTCTTATCTGTATGTTGGCAGCAGCCTCATACTCTATGCCCTTTATTTACTTGTGAGTTCATAATGGTATAAGCCCCTGGGAAAAGTCATCCTTAATTTCCACTGGAATTTTGTAGGGCTAGACAAGGGTTTTCCAAGTTTAGTTACAACTTCAGAAACTCCTGGAAAGTATTTTAGGCTCTAAACAATGAAAACTATCACATTTAAACAGGCATGGTGCAGTAAGTCACAGGCAGCAATGGAGGTATTCCAGTTGTACCCTTTTACTCCTTTTAGTGTTGATTATTTACCTTTCAAATAAACTGTACTTTGTTTTTCGTTTTGCATACAGTCCACTGGGTCTGCCTGGTTTCCAGGTGCATTTTATTATCTGGAAATTGGGTGTTTCACAGCTGAGGTTTTGGGGAATATCAGGAGCATCTGTAGCATGAAAGGAAACCAGAAGAGTTAGCTATGTTCTGCCATTCTAGTGTGACATTTGGGTCACTGGCTTCCTGAAAACATCACCATTTGTTTTTTCTGGGTCTGGATTGCGTGCTTCACAAATACATGGCTACAGTTACACTCCAACCATACAAAAATATGCCTTTAAAAAGTCACAATAAAACAGATGGATAATTATTATCAGCCCCATCTGACTAACACTTGACTCGAGGATTCTAAGTGGGTGGGTAACCTGGTAAATCACATGCAAACATGTTCACAAGCTCCAGGCTCTGACCTGGAAGTGTTTCACTGAAACTCTGCCAAGACTCTTCTGAAATTCTTAGCATCGGTTTAGCCACTGAGCAATGCAGGAAAGCTGTCGGCTGTGCGTCACATTTTCTAACGTGCCAGCCCCAACACTGTTTTGAATTCTCCAAACAAGTCACGTCAAGGAGATGGTCCCTTTGGCAGGAATTCCACACTGAAGCTGAAAGTTAAAGCAAGCCCTGAATGGCTCATCTCCTTTCCCATGGCTTTGGAAGTGCCAATCTTTTTCTTTTAAATCTTGTTTTTTGCTGCCCTACTAGGGCAGTGTTGAGTGCCTTCCTGGAAAAGATGGGCAGTGTTCCCAATAGAGAGGGCAACCATGCTAACTTGAGAGTAGGTAGAGCACTTGTTTCAGGTCTCATACACTTGAGATGTATGAGACTGAAAAGATGTGCCAAAGGTAGCACAATAATATCCACATAGCTGCCCTAGAGAAGGGGCACTAACGCAAGAGGTGACAGTGGCAGGCTTAGTTCAGATTATGAGCAGCGGGCCAAAAAAGAACACAGACCTAGGCTTAACCAAGGCATTATGTTTCCTTCCTCTACCTTTTCTTCCCCAAATGTCTGTCATCAGCAAGAGGCCCATGACAAGTAGACACCACTGTAGACACCACTAGAAGAAATATTGACAAGAAACAGACTTGGAATCCCATCTTGAAAACCACTGCACAGGAGAAACCTATGGGATTGTCAGGGCATTCTTTCTTGAATCACTGACTTAATTACCTGGATGATTCTCCCACAAAAGTAAATACAGTGCAAATAATGCAAAAATGACATATCACTGAGAAAACATCAAAGGCGGAATTCTGTTTTGCATTTGCTATAGCAAACTTAATAGACAAAGCCAATGAGAGCACACACAGCTTGGAGATGGAAGCACACTTTCAAAATTAGTCCAGTTTCTCCTATCCCTTTCCTCAACCCCAAGGATCCTAAGTTTCAAGGCAGGCATTTGTAATGGGGAATGGGATTATAATGAGCAGCTATCGGAAGATTATAACTCTCAAAATCCATGTGGGGAAAACACATAAAGCTCTAAAATGACCAATTATGAGAAAAAAACCATGAGGTACTTCCAGTCATTTGTTTTAACGGGTATCTGTTTCTGGAACAGATTTCTGAGCCTGGCAGAGAAGATGCACAGTGATTCAGTACCTTTAAAGACAATACTAAAAGGGTGTTTCAGAAGACCGTCCAGGAAAAAGGAATTGTCGCCTGGTTTCCTCTGCTGTATTTAGCTCCCAAGGAGCTACTGCCCTGGATGAGCACATTTTGTTGCAAGTCCAACTGTTTTATTGTCTTCATTTGACTGATTGGTAAACAAATGTTTGCATTTACAATTCTTGCTCTTACTCTCACCTTGCCATGGACTAAACCAGAACAGATGTAAACCTACAGTGATATAGACTGGGGATGAATATTCATATGGCAGTAAACTACTGAGTATTCCAGATCATGAAAAAGTACCTTAGAACAAGAGATCAATGAAAGAAGCACTGGGCCACGTTCTAAAAGAAGAGGGCTTATATGGGTACCTTCTCATCCTCCCAAACTTGGTGTCTTCTCCATGAGCTGGAGTTTCCGCAGTGAAACAAGTACAATCCCAGTTCATGCTCAAAACCAAAGGCTGGGGGAGGGGGGGGGAAAGCCACAGTAGTATGTGTTTCCTAGCAGAACTCTAAGACTCTCAAAATGATTTTGATTTTCCTGAGGTTAGTAAACATAATGATACATACATCCTACAAACAGGACAGTTCCCTCCACTATTCCATTGTTGAGTCTGCACACTACATTTGTTCCACTGGAATCTGAGACACTGGCATTTAGTACTCTGATTGCATGGCTCCGACTGCTCAGCTGTATCACTGGGTAGGGCTTTGATCCATAACTCATGATTGTTACGTTCTGACCTTCTTCATGGATACAACAAAATGTCACATCTGAACCCACTGCCACCACAGTATCCAGAGGAAACACTCCACTCTCACTGGGATCAGTATCTTTTCCTAGTAGAGAAGGAAGAAAACAAACAAACAAAAATCCGACATGAACAATTTGCTATAAACATGGTGCTGATCAGCTAAAATGTGACTGAGGAGCACTCCAATGCATACAAATAAATATTTACTAGGTTTCATTAACTAGTGATTGCATTATTTCTCCAATCAAAACATCCTCAAAGCCAGCAGCCCATCAATGCCTAACGCTTTTTCTCTGATTTTGGCTCACTTCTTACAATGAAATCAAAGTCCCTGTGGTGGCAAGAGAACAAACATACCAGGGATCACTTCTACTGGGCTCCAGTCACTCCACTCCTTGAGGCCAAAAAACTGTGTTACATTAATATAACAGCGAATCTTCACATAGTGCGATGTGCACTCCAAAGGTATATCTGATGTCCAGTTCCAAGAAAGAATGATGTCTTCATGAGTCAGTTTTGAGTGGTAAGTAACCTGCAAAGTTTTCACACACAAAAAAATAACAAAGACAGAGCTTATAAACACCTGCTTACAATGACTTATAATCTCCCAGGTGTCAACAGAATGGCAAATTAAATGAACTAAAGCATAATATCCTGAGAGATTATTGGAGTGTCCCACCTAACTTTCAGTTGCACAGTGAATTTACTTGGACAAAAGCCTAACTTACTAAAAAGCCCACCAGCCAGGTAGACTGCCTGCCAGAAATACCAGAGGGCAGACATCTGAGAGAGAGCAGGAAGCTCACCAAGCATTTAAATAGGTATATACTGCATCCCAGTATCCTGGGCCTCTCCCAGGCAGGGAAATGTTCCAAATTTTCTAAAATGTCCCAGGCTGCACATTTTGTCTTTTCTTCATTACTGAAATGTTTAGAACAGAGCTACAAATTGGCTTGGAAGAACTGTGGTTACAAAAAAAAGAAAAAAGCAAGCTGAGCATTCAAAAACCAAGACTTGACATACTGTTGGAGACAATGGTGTAAAATATCTGCCAAATTCATAAGCAAGTTCTAATTAAAAAATCCCTGTACTAGATTAAAAAAATAAAATGGTGTGAGTCAGTACTGACAGTATAGTAGCCAGTCTTCTCATAACTTTGAAACTTAAAAAGAAATTACATACTAGAAGCATGACTAGAAGGTTCTACACAGCTCTACAATCTTCATCATTCTCAGCTTTCTTCAAATGACCTCAGAATATTACCAAGGGCAAAAATTGCATATGTATTTTTCATAAGGGAAGAAAAGGACTTACTTGTGTGACTTTTTCCATTGTTTCTTTTCGGAGTATCTGAATCTGCCAAACAGCATCCAGTCCGTCTGGGAAGACTGATCCATTATCACTCCACTTCAGATTTAATGTGGAAGTTGAAAAGTCAGGCGTTAAACTAAGAATGCGCGGAGTGACAGGAATAAACACTTGAAAAAGAGAGGGAGAAAAAAACCCATACTCAAGTCATTAGTCAGCAACACCAGCCCTACAGGTGTTCAACAGCCACATCTCTCTGCTCTGAACTGGCTAGTAGCCATACAAACATGTAACTCAATCTCTGTAATTAGAATGAGATAGGCTCTGTCATTACTTGAGCACCAAAGTTCTCAGGAAAGCACAGGTGCTGATGAATCACCAGGCAGCATTTTCTTTGGATATCTCAGCATGCAGATACGCGAGTAACTGGTCATGAATATGACTCTTCATAAGGAAGGAAGGTATCCTGTCTTTTACATCCTTCATTCAATACTGCAGAGGCAAAGGAAACATGGTGACAGTCTTTGAAGCATGCATAAGAACACTTCTAGGGAAGATGATGGAAAACCATCTCCAAAAGAAGTAAGTTTTGGACACCAGTAAGGAAGTGGGGATTTGCAACAAAAATGAGAGCAGGGAGAAAGGAGAGCAGAAGCAGAGGATGGAAGAAGCTCACATGAGGGCCTGAAGAAGATCATGGGGAAAGTGATTTTAAGCTGGAAGAAATACTAAAGGCATGACATCATGATGCGGACAGGACAGGGAGATTAAACAGAAGACCTCTTCTACAAATGAGCAGTGGTGAAGCAAGAGATTGAGAAGCGGGGAAGAATTATGGTAACACAAGGGTTATGGCAGTTCATTTGGCCTGCTGCAGGACAAAACATATTTTTAAAATGTCTGATACATCCAATTCAGTCCTGAACATGGACCTGAGAGCCTGCAAAGTGTTCAACACAGTTCAACGCTGCCTACGATAACCTGTGATGAACCTGAGAGACTCATCCTGCCTGGAGCCAGCAATATCCTGGAGAACTCAGTGCATTGCCCAAATATTTGTGAGTTCCATTTTGTTAAAGTTCTTGAGCTGCTCTCAACTGTAAAGAGAAGCATGGATAAGGAGTATTACTGACATTAGAATTTGACTACACTAAAGGACTAGAGCAAGCCTAGAGCAAGCATGGAAGATGGTGGCAGTGCCATCTTCAGTTTACAACTTCCTTCTTTGCATGGAAAGAAGTGGGAAAAAGTCTGATTTATTTATGACTCCAACATGAAGCAGTCTATCTCCCAAGAATAAATGTATTTGCTCAGTTTCATTTACAGTTGAACAGAACGAGTAAGTTGGGCATATATTAGGACAATATGATCCTGTCAGGAGTGACATATGATATAATTTCCCTTGGAGTGTTCTGAAATTGCAGGAATAAGCTACTTCATTCTGTAGCATCCAAAACGGAAGAAGAGACACTAGGAAGTTTATTCTGCCTTTCCCAAGCCAAGTCTGACCAAAAGCACTTTAAAACCCATGCAGGTACCTCAGTATGAGGATTAGGAATTCGTTTACAAATCCTTCCTGACTTATAACTAAAATAAAAAAGGGTAAAGAGTTGGGGACGTAACAGTGTTGTATTTTGCTTTCCTTGTCATATTCTGCCCTTGATTTCTCTGCTATGAGCTATGGGTAAGAAGAGTTTTCTTTCCTCTGAAGGATTAGAGATAAAAACCTATGATGCATGGTAGCTTCACATGGACTCAGCCTATCAACATTTTACCTACAGGAATACTGTCAAAGAAAACTGCAAGCATGTACACATCTGGAGAATTGTTAAACACAGTGTGAAGGCTTTGTGTACACACATAAACTCTAATACTTACAGACATCTTTCTTGTGAATTTTAAATTCTTTGGTAGCCAAAGCAATTCCAGAGATGCTATTTGTAGTTATTGTCACTGTGCTGGAGCTGTGTGGAACTGGAATCTCAACCCTTTTCTCCTTAGTTTTAAAACACACCGGAGTGGGGAGGTCACTGAAAAGACAGAGAGGATTAAGCAGTTATTTCAGCTGATAGGCAGCTAAGGCAAGTTAAGTCCTATTCTTGGACACTAATAAAACACAAATTCCCTCTAATAAACAGAGAGCTCCATATCAAGTTTGTGAAGGAGTGAGACTTGCACGGGCTTTGGTTAGTATCAGATTAACAGGCATTTCCTCATCTTTCAAGTCACTTTCATTGTAGTCATAGGCTGTGCACTTAGCTGCATAATGCAACTACCAGTTGTTAAGAGAACACTTCCACGTGAAAACCTGACTTTTTAACGAAAATCACAGAATCGTTAAGTTTGGAAAACTTAACTTTAAGATTATTCATCACAAACGCAACTGTCAACCTAGTACCAGCACCACTAAACCATGCCCACTAAGCCATATCCACATGTTTTTTGAACACTTCCAGGGCTCATGACTCCCCTACTTCCCTGGTGTGGTAGTTTGGCCTAGGCCTTCCTTGGTGACCAGTTTGTAACCAAGGAAGTGCCCAGATTTACCCGGTATTCCCTACGATTTTTACGTAAACTGGGGTATAAGAAGAAGGGAGGAAAGACCTTTGCTCTCTTTCCTTCCGGCGGCTTTGGAGGTGCAGATCTCCCTGTGTTGAGTCTGTCGGCTTGGAGAGTGAGGCCTGGTAAGGCCTTGTCGACCTTGGGAGGCAGAGGCTGCCGGCAGTCGCTCCAGTGTGACTCTCCATTGTCCCAAGGAGAGTAGTAAGATATTCTCTGCTAATTCTTTTAGTTGATAGACCTTGGGCTACTGATCGGGATGATATATATATATAATTTTGGTTTTTGTTCTTCCCTTCCCCTTTCCCTGTGAAATTGTATATATATTTGAACTGTACATAACTGTAAATATAAGTGTAAATATATTTATATATATTGCTTTGTCTCTCTCGTTTTCGGTTCTTTTGGTTTTTTTTTTTCCCCTCTTCTCCCTTGGTTTGGGGTGGGGGGACAACTTCTTGTGGTAAGGTTTGGAGACTTGGCAGGGAGCCAGCTCCAAACCATGACACCTGGATATTCTGTTTCAATGTTTTACAAACCTTTCTGTGAAAAAAATTTCCTAATATCTAATCTAAACCTCCTCTGGCACAACAAAAGATACATTTTTGAAACCTACAGTCACCAGGAATCAATATTCGAAAATAAGCAAAATAAAATAAAAATTAAAATATTTTAAAAAAATTACAATAAACAAAGAACCCCCCCCCAAAAACCAAAAAAGCCCAAACTTAACAGTATCTCCCCCTCCATTTATGTTTCCTGACTCCCTCTCCCTCCATTTCATCTCAAAGTAATGGCATATGGGAGCAGATTTACCACCTGTGTCTGCATCTTAGAACAAATTTTTTAGCTCCCTTCTGCGGCTCAGCTCATGAGGAAAGAGCAGAGGGCAGGGGAGAGGACTGCTAAGATCCTAGGTGAAAATACAGCCTGTGCTTTATGTTTGTGCAGTGCTCAGCATGATGTGATCTGGCTTTTGTCTTGGGGATGCAGATATATAGAGGAAACAATAATGGATGGGTCAAGTCCCTTTGCTCATTAGCACTGATATGCAACTAGAAAGGCAGAAAGTTTGGAAAAATCCAGACCTTCCTCTTGGGGCAATGACGGGAGGAAGGAAAGCAGAGAGAACAATGCCAGACTTCCTGCTGAGGGACTGTTACTCACTTATGAACTGGAACGGGACCCCGGAGCTCCCATCAGCTGGAGTCAAGAGCTTGGGCTGAACTCTTTAAGATTCACGCAAGACTCTGGGCTAGCGAAGGCCAGCTGAGACTTGAGTGCTCAGGAAGACTATTCCTCTTCTGTACTGAGATATTATTAGAGGATGTTTGGGTAACTGAAAAACAAAACCTCTTTCCCTCAGGGATGTCTGCACTAAGCTCAGCTCTCATCCTCTTTGCTTCAGGGCCCCCAGCCTGTTCTGCTTTGCTAAGGAGAAACAGCAGCAGCTACATGATTGTTCCTGTTCAGAGGGCAGTACCTCCTGAACTCTGCACTCCTGAACTCTGGCCACAATGTCACATATATGGATTATTTTTTTTAAATAGAAATGATAGCTGGCAATGCAGCATGAATAATGAGACACAGAGAATCAAGCATGTAGGTGGACTAAGTGCAGCCAAGCCCCGGGACCCCAAGGAAAAGTCTGGGCTGCCTGCAGAATTTACAGGAAAAAAGACTGTATAAATATCTGGACTGGGGGCAGGATCAAGATGCAGAATGGATTTGAACTCATCCCTAGCACATGATAAGTATTTGGCAGACCCACTGCATGGGGATTTGAACATGTAGTTCTCATTAGTGAAAAAAACACAGAAGATTTAAGGTGTTTTTTAACTTTTCTCAAAATTCTCCACTCTCATTCACTTCACAAAAGCCATTTTAATTATGAAATAATTTTTACGTTTCCTCTAATACAATGCTCTTCAGTTTAAAATTTATAAAGATTGTAAGGCAGCCACCAAGAGATTTTTCTTGTTTTTCCACATGTGAATCTCAACACTTATGTCATATATTCTACCGCTTTGGCCCATAACATCAGGATTTGCTGCTTCCAACTCTCATTTCCTTTTGGACTGAACCTGTTTTGAAGATATCCCTCATGAAAACTCTAAGCAAGGGATAAGCAAGGGATAGGCAGACACACAGAGAAGTCTGAGTAAATAAGAGCATCTTCCAGTCCTTTGAAAAGAGCAAGCAGATTTTGGCAGGCAAATTGTTAGCGTGGAATAACTTTGCCAGAAACCCTGCCATTGCCTGAGTTAACAGGGCCTGGAGGGAGCACCACCCAAGGAAAACTGATGGGGAGATGCTGGGAAAAAACAGCATCACAAATTCCATGGGCAGTGACTAAGGAAAAACTGTACTTTCATCACAATTTGGTATTTTTCAACCAGGTATATGTGGGACTTACTTGGTAGCATAGCAAAAGTCAGTTTGTCCATGTTTTCTTCTAGGAGACACATCCCAAGTACAGATCATTTTGTGTAAATTGTGCGTTACGCATTTCAAATTCTGGGGGTGCCCTAGAGAACCTGAAATCATAGAAGAAATACAGTCTCAAAACTACAGGTCAGAAGTGAGCAACTGTAAAACTACTGCTATTGTTCACATCTGTAGCCTTTCTTTTTACAGTTTTATTGCATGCCTGTCTGGCCAGTATCTGAAAACTGCTGAACAATTTGTGTGTCTGATTAGAAAGCCACAGACTCCCAGCTTTCTAGAATTACCTAAGATCTGGGCTTGTACTCGTGTGCCTAACACAGGCAGCTGTCTCCTTCCACAATATCCACTCCTTGCCTAGCCTAATAAGCAGGCTTTGGGCCAATGGCAAAACCACAGTCTTTGATGATAAATTTAACGAGTTTTTTTGCTCTTCTCCACTGTCGCACATGGAAGGCAACTAATGACAAAAGGGCAGTTAATGATAATGTGTGAAATTATTGAAGACAGCTGGCGTATACAGCAAGGAGGTTTCAATGCAGGCATTTACATCAACTGTATATGCAGACTATCAGTTGCGTTATGGAGAATTTAACACTCAGTTTTGCACTGGTTTACAACATGCTGATGGGTGCTGGAAAGCAGACACCAGGCCTGGCATTACCTCCATCCCTAGGATGGTGTGGGGCCACAGAGGTGGCAGTTTCTGAATATACATTTAGTAAGAAAGCAATGTAATTACAAGGTGTCAGTACAGAAGCTCCAAAAAAAAAAGTAATTAGTGAATTACACTGCCATGAACTCACCTATCTCTTGGCTGTATACTAAGCTTCTTAGGCATAAGATAGCTAGTACTAAAAGGCAGTGGAGGCTTGAATTCTTCCACATTCTTCTACTGTTTGTTTTCAGAACAGCAGCTTTAAGCAGGAATAAACGTCATCTTCCAACAAGCTGGTCAGTTCTAAAATTAAACACAAAAATAATAAAAAACCCCGTATAAATTGTAGAGCTGGTACTCCACAAATGCCACATTTTGTTCCATCTACTTTTCTTCTTCAGTACTGTTCCCAGGCGTAGCAACTCCTTTTCCTTTGTCTGTCATGCAAACCTTTTCTCTGTCCCAACAACTCCTTGATGCATACATTTTCAGTAAGACATTTCAAACACAACCTCAAGAATCATAGACATGTAAAACTCAATGGTCCACAGGCATCATTCAGGACCATCTGATATCAGAACAGAACAGACATGGCATCCCCTGGAATAAGCCTCTTCAACTTAGATGAAATGTCACATTCACAAAGCATCTTGTACACCATGAATGGAAACATCCCCTGCTTCATTTACGCATTTAAGGGGACAGGACAGACCATCTGTTTTCTTCTTTCCTCTTCTCATTTTTCATATTGCTACTATTCAAACTTATGGGATGCCTGAGACATTGCAGAACCAGATCTGAACACCCAGGATCACTGGTTCAATCCAGTGATAAATAATAATGCCTGGAGGAAAAATAATGGAAAAAAAAATATGAGCCATTTGTGTATCAAGAGATACTTGCTACTATAACAGACACCTCAAGGTAAAAAATTATCTAGAATATTATATTTAATGTGTTCTTTGAAGATAAAGGGGTTTCATGTTTTATAAAGAGAAGTTCAACTCTTCAGCGAGACCCAGGGAACACATTTAGTTCCACCCCACACATCAACAACCATCAGTTTTTGTTCTCAAAAAGAAAAACTGCAGGAAAGCTTATCCTAAAGCTTAGTCAATTCCTGGTGCATCATTTACCTGCTACCTGAAATCTCTGAAGACTTGAGCACCCTTCCAGAGACCATAACTCCTATGTAACAAGAGGCCTTTTCTCAGCAACCAACAGCAGGAGCTGGGCAATTTTCAATGTTAGAATATGGCCAAGCCTGCCTGTCCTGGAGAGCAGTTTTGTTCCCATTTTGTCCAGGCTCCAAGGCTCCTGATGTTGTCTCTGAAATCTCTTCCAAAGCTAGATGTACGTCATCATCAAAATAACAGACTTTTGCCTAAAAGCCTATGAAATTTTGAAAGAAAGCTCTATTCACTGAAGTCCCCTGTGCTACCAGGAGTATGCTTCCTCATCCCTGCAGTACAACCATGTATTTTTTATTAATTTTTTTAAAGGAATCCTCCCTCAGGGGACAGCTGGGGATGCCTGAAATGTTCTTCTGTCCCTCACCAATCGGCACTGTGAGAGGAGAAACGTATCAGAACTATGCCAAATAATCCAGAGCTGCTCACAAGGGGCCACTTCCCTTCTTTCTCTTGGTCTGCAATAACCAGGCTGAAGGCAAGTCCCAGGCACACAAGAGATGAGACGTGCTATGGTAAAGACCACTGTTATGTCTGGAGGGAAGAAAAACACTTAAAACTTAAAAATTATTTTAATTTCACCATGTTCGCAAACCACCTGAAAACCTCACTAAAAACTAATATAAGCTATACTACCCCTAGACGCACTCAGTTCTTCTTTTATATATTAATAATCTGTAATATCCATGCTGTGAAACTTGTTAAAAGCCAAATAAAGAGCAGAGGTTGACAAATCCATGTCCAGGCAAAGATGAATCAAGAACCCACCAGCACATAAAATACAATAATCTCTTTGTCTGAAGTCCCCTACTATATTTTGGTGTATCTCAGGGTCTTCATGTATTTGTCCATGTTATTAATCAGAATATGGGATGTTACCTCCAGGTTTGAACCTTGCTCATAAAGCTCTAACTTCATAAAAAATTTGAAGACCTCTCAGACAGACCTGGGAGTTACATGAATAAAAGGACTGATTTCTATTTGTGATATAAATGTAAATTTTATGTTTCTGAAGACTTCTTCAAAGATCATTTCTGGTTTCCAGAAAAGTCTAAAATCAAAATTTAAAGTTCTATATCACAAACACCTGACAGTCAGCTGGCCTTCTGGCAGTCAAGGAAAGGATAAAGAAAGGAAAGCACAGATGCTACTTGAAGGAGAAAAAATTGCTCTGTAATATTAATTAAATCCCAAGCCTGTAGCAATAATCTCAACCCTCTAAACACATTAACCTTGTAGGTTTATGCAAAACCTGTTCATTCAGCAACTATGTGTGTGTGTGTTTTAAGAAAATCTTCTGGTTTTTTGCACCTCCTTCAATACATGGAGTGGTCCTCCTACTGCAGAAGTTTTAAGAGTACATCACAGCAGCGCATTACAAGATATCTGAGTCATACCAAGTTCTCCTAACTCAAGCACAGTTTTAATTTCTGTTTTAGAGTCAGGCACAGAAGGGAACCTATGTACTCTTATGCAGGGCATGATTAGTGTCTTGTAAACCACAGTCTTTCGTAAGAAGCGTAGACTCCCTGGCTCTTGTTTTCTTACAAACATTTTATAACTTGTTGAAAAGTCGGCAAAGAAAAGCCTCGTGTCGCATAATTAAATGCCATTAGTCAGGAAAAAAGATCCCCATTTATAGGCTTGTTTTAATTATAAAGTTACAAAATAATTGAGTTACTTTAAAAATAGGAAGTTCACTTTCTTTGGATGAAAGCTGCTTCCAATCAGTTCAAATCTAAATCAAACAAGGCATAGAGGTTTTTCCTTAGCCTAAAAGATATGAAAAGTACATTATCCTCTAGGCAGATGTACTCTTAAGATGTACAGGACTTTATCTCCTAAGAGTCAGGGATATTATTTAGGACAAGAGAGCTCAACATTGTCAGAGGAAGGCAAAATCTTGACCATGGCTGGCTGGAGCTCAACAGGAGCAGTTGCTACTAAGCACAAATGTCTTTACACTGCAAGACTTTATTTTTAAAAAATGGTATGAAGGGGGTTAGCCAATTGTCTCCACCAGACTAAATTGCAACTAAACCACCTTTAACAGTTGTTCATCTTAAATAATATCAGCAACAGCACATCCTATAACAATCTAATTTCCTTGGGCAATATATTCGTGTCACTTCACTGTCACTATCATCAGTGTTCCAAATGTGCTCCACAACTATCTCTTGCTCCATTTTAAGCACATTACTTTGTCCTATCTCCAGCAGACAAAGAACAGTTTAACCTCTGCCTTGCAGCACCATCTTACAGAATAGATGACTGATATCAGATCTCTAATAGCTCCTCCCTTAAAAACACCAATTTTTAATTTTTTTTTTTTTTTTTTACCATTTCCCAGTCTCGGTTTCTATATTTCTGATCATTCCTGGAACAAACATTGCTCTGTGAACCAAAGCTGCTGTATCCACAGCCTTGAAATATCTCTGCCCCGAGGCTTGAGCATTATCAAGCACAATGAAGGAACTTTTCTATGGCAAACCTATGAGTAGTATGTGTTTACACAGCTCATGCCATGTTTGCTTTCTCCCAACATTCAGACCTTGTTGACTTGATTTCAGTGTGTGATCCAGCCCCGGATACTGTATAAAGCTGCCACGTAGCTGTTTATTTAGTACTTCAGACTCCAATCTCATCCTCAAATGGACTGCAAACGTCCTGACTTAGTGTGAGTGTATTTGCACAGCAAATTCATCTCAATGGCTTTGCCTGAAATGGTCTTTCACTTTTGAAATTTTCAAATAAGGAAAGAGCCTCTCATAAACCTATGCTAAGGAACAGCACCACGTGTGTCTACAAAAAGTATTCACATGCAAATTCATGCCATACTGACAGCAAATGTTTGACAGGTTTCAGTATATAACTGCTCATACTTGAAAGAATCTACTAAAACCAGGATTCCATAATAACTGTCGGAAGCTACAGTACATGGGGATGTCATGACTTCTGCCCAGAGCTTTATGTTGTGCAGAGGAACTACCCTTGTGCCTGAGGTCAGAAAGAAGAAATTTTAAATTCCCTTTTATGCAGGTAAGGTATCAAAGGAACAATTAGATTCACATTCCTATTCACTGAAGCCAACAGTTGATGGCTGATATTTAAAACAGCTCAATACCCACCATGGACTTTTAAATTACTTTTAAAGATGTTTTGATGCAGACAGTGCATCTACTGGTGATCAGATAGATAAGAGAGGAAACAGTACTCCAAGACAATAATGTGCGCCTAGGAAAATATCTGTGGAAAGGTTTGCTTCAAACTCTTGTCAGCTGTAAAGAAGGTTAAAGATTCTGTGACCTCCTGAGAAAAGGGGAGCATTTAAGCCATTACCAGCCCCTTTAGACTTAACCTCTTAAAGGGAAAACCAGAAAATAACTGGTATGTCTCCTACTGACTGCATTTCTTATTATATATTTCTTGGCTTAACTGATTCTGGGTATCTTCTTTTTTAAAAGCATAGCTGACCAAATGCTCAGTTCTCTTCAAAGGGGAAAAAAAGTGTTTTTTTAGTCAGTTGTAACAGATTAGTTCTCTAAGCACAAAAGTTCTCCAAAGCTTTGTTCTACTATTGAGTTTTCTGGTCTCTGAGTGTATTTCATTGTCAAGTGCTTGGAAACCACTTTGAAAACAAACAAACAAAAGAGCTAAAAAAAAAAAAAATCAATAAACTTTCTGGCCTGCTTTCTGCCTGCAGTCTGATCTGACAGTCACAAGTCTCCAGATCTGTTTTCTAAAAATGTCTATGAGTTGAGGATTAGTTGCCACAGTTTTCATAGACATGTTTGCGCTCCACAAGCAGATATCTGAAAAGAAATTATTAAAAAGTCACCTTATACAAAAGGTTTAGGGAAACTGTAAGTGGAGAATATACTAGACAAAATCAGTAAAAATATATGTATTAAACATAATAGAAGAGATCTGTTTGTCCATAAATTTTCTCAAGTTGCATCTTTTTTTTCTCCACAATTAAAGGTATCATCATAATAATTTGCCACCAAGTGGAACATTAAAAGCTCTCAAGGAAAATTACATAGCACACCACCAAAACGTTGTAGAGACTGATGAGAGGCTATATTGAGCAGCCATAATCCCAAATAATCAAGC